GCCATGTAGGGCTTTATAGGTAACGACCACCACCTTGAAGCGGGTCCGGAGACTAATGGGTAGCCAGTGCAGCTCACGGAGGATAGGATTTTTACTTATTTGGTGAGACCCATCAGGCACATGACGTCACGGAGTTGTCCTATAAGTTTCCACATTTCACATTTAAAAGCTTATATAATTCAGTGTTCAGCTTGAAGACGGGTGGACTTCAACTCCCAGAATTCCCCAGCCAGCATGCACTGGATGGGGAATTCTGGGAGTTGAAGTCCACCCGTCCTCAAGCTGCCAAACTTGAGAACCCCTGCTTCTTCCAACCATCTCCCTTCTTTCTTCTACCTGGCTCTCCATCTTCTTGTTGCAAAGTGGAAGTTGGAGGAAGCCACCACAGCTGCGGGCTTACTCACAAACCACAAATCCACGCTGGAATGCACTTTGTGAGCTGCAGAGCTCTTAAGGCCAAAAAAATTGTGCTGTGCTCTCTCACAGCTGGCTTGGGACACAGCCACAAAGCTATGAAGCACCTGCTGGAGCCCGAGGGCAGCTGGGGTGGAGAAAGTCACCCACCCACAGGAGACAGGGAGGCAGCAGAGTGCAGCTTGTCCTTGTAAACATCCTGAAGGTTTTGTTTGAAAGCAGGGTGGTGTTGGAAGCAGACCAGCAAATCCCAGCTTCCCTTCTTGAAGTCAGCAGGAAGCCCTGGCCGAGTGCCGCAGGCTGCTAGCCCTGAAGGACCACAACTTCTCCCCACTTCTATTCACCCTGGCAAGGCTGGCTAGTTTGCGATAGTGGGGGGAATCTGCTCAGGTGGAGGATGAGGATGGAGGAAAGTTCTGCGAGCTTCACAAACGGTGTATTACCAGACTACGCAACGCCTGTAGAGATCCTCCATCATCCAGGTCATGGTTGTCCCAAAGGTGCTTTTTCAGGAGGCAACTGGACTTCCTTGTTTTTCTTCAAAGGCATTTCGCTTCCCATCCAAGAAGCTTCTTCAGCTCTGACCGGATAGTGGGGAATGGAAGGATTTTTTTTAAATTATTATTATTAAAGTATTTTTATTAGTAAAAGAAAAATACAACAACCAATAACTGGTAAAAGACAATACAACATCCACTGTTTCGCTTTACATTTGACTGTGTTTCAAGACATTCCCATAATATCAAGATCCTTATAGGCTTCAAAGATTGGGTATCTTCTCCCCTCCCTCCCCTTTTCCTTACCTTGTTTCTTCTTTCCCACTCCCCTTCCTTC